GATTTCATTTCTTCGTACAATCTAGAAGTCAATTACCTATATTTTTAACACAGTTTAGTCACAAAGAGACTTATGAAATCTTAGGTACATAAAATATTACCGTATGATGTGAAAATAGGGCCAACTGTAGCCAAGCTCCATCAACAACTTAAAACTTTAACAGCCCTCCTGAACATTTACTACATTTTTTTAAACTTATTCAATTTTATAATATTATGGTTTTAGTCGTCATTCTCCCCAAATCTCAAAATTAGCGCCTATTGTACCTAACCAAAAATAATATTTTTTAAGATATTTTTCAATGTTATCCAAATAAGATTTTTCCCGACAATTATATGTATATTATTTAAAATGCAAAATCTGCACAAAATATGCTAAAAATCGCTCAAATATGACAAAATATGCAAATTCAAACTTTGTTGTCAAACCCCTGGCTACAAGATTCCTCATAAGTTGTTATTATAGATATTTAAAAATATTTAATCTATAAATATATATGCACGATTTTATATGAGCATTTTTAGATAAAATTTTTCAAAATCACGAACATTTGAAAATTATTTTGTTGTTGAAAATGTAGGTAAAAATGTTTAATTTTAATTTTTTAGAGCTAATTCAAGAAAATGTAATACAATTAGTTTCCTCATAATTCATAAGTCATAAGTAGTTAATATTGATACCAAAAAATCTACGAAAAATATAATTGCAAATTGTTTTATGGAGAATATTTCAAGCTCAAATTTAGACGAAATGAGATATATCAAACAAAGATTTTAAGATTTTTTTTTTGTTTTGTTTATAAATGGTTGCTATTGGTTTTGATGATATAAATAATAATTATTATTAAATATGAGTGCAATAAGCCTGTGTATTTTAGTACAGAATGCACCAAGTTCGAATTACGCGGTCTTGGTGGACCAATTATTTGAATTTTTTGATACTTTAGAGTTAAATTATACACTCACGTACTCACTACGCGGGGTCCATGATCTTTATTGCCCACCTGATATTATTATACTGCTCGCATAATTATTAATTACAAGCGAATCTCACGGACCCCGGCGTTGGGGATGGAATGGATGGATATAAATAATTAAAATATAATATAATTTACACTTAAAAAGATATTGCTTCGAGTTTCCACAGCGTGTTACACCCAAAAGGAGTTGAACAATCACAAAAACCTAGCAATAGCAAAGCATTGTTGTGTCAACTATAGTATTAGTATATGATATAATTAATATGGGTAGGTATACTATAATAATAATTTAATTTAATTAATAATATAATAAATGCAATGTCTTCGACAAAAATTAATTCAACCTACCTCATTTGGTGTCATAATGCCATATTCTGGTACAAAATAATCCATATAATATTAGGTATTGTTTACGATAATTTTTTAGTACATCTATACTATTTTAGAATACCTTAGTAGTTACACTTAAAATACTTATACCTAACTAGTAAAGTTTATGTTTTGGTTTTCTCAATAATTGTTAAACCAATTTCTGTTAATTTTTTAAAGACATTATTATAGTTAAAATACATTTGTTGCTATTTTTAGATAGTTTTTAGGGAATGTCAACTTGGGCTAAACTTACTTAAAACTGGTAAAAAGTATAAACTACTCATAAACATTTTCCTTCACCAGTTTCAATATAGTGTGCAGTCAGACGTCAGTGTTGATATTAGAGTGAATTGAGTATATTACATGAATTGATCTACTATCTAAGATCTAACCTTTAGCATTTAGGTAAGAACATTATTAGGGTACCCTCGTTGGGTTTTTACGATATTTTAATTAATAAGTGAATTATGACTTATGAGCATTTTCAAACATTAAAATTGTATATAGATAGGTTAGGTTAACTCATAAGACTTTAATTATTATAGACATCTGCGTTCTGTAAGTAATGAATAATATTATATCAAATATCGCAACAGTGGCATATCCCCCCCCCCGGAAACCTAATTTTGTTCACAATACAGCATGCATATAATAATATGAAAATAATATTATGCGTATGATGAATGTCTATTAAAAATTCAACCATAAACAACAAACAATAAAATTAATATTATTAATATTACCACAAATAAATTTTAATTTTAAAAACTTTTGTCATTTATCATCTTTATTTATTATGGTGAGCAAGTGAGTACCCAATAAAATTAATTTCTAAAAGTTAATGTTGTATATTTTAATAGTACCTACCTATAATTTATGTGTAACAACTAATTGGTAATGACTATCGTATATCTTGTATGGTATATGATAGCAATATAAATTATATCATAAAATATACTTAGTAACAAAGGATACCTACCTAACTATATAGGACAACTATACTCAAAATCGTTTTGTGTATGAATATGAAATGATTTATCATTGAATTAAAATTAAACACATACATTACAGTGACTTTCACTACGGTAGTACGGTAAACCCTTCCCCTTTTTTTAAATAGGATTGTTATCGTGTCAAAGTTCCAAAATCAATCAATTCTAAGCGAACAATGAAAGTTATTGAAATATAAACGATAAACCGACATCGTAATATAATAATAATAGTCTTTGGTGTTTACAATGATTATGTAATACCATAGTAAAACCTCCATGACTTGCTCGCCGGCAGTCAGCATAATATTAAAATAATTATTGTGATCATTTTATTGTAGGCTGTAGGTAATGATGTTTATATTATAGCCCGCAACACTGATATCGGTAATGTCATGTTTTTTTTTTCAATTTGATAACACGTTATCTCGTGTACATGAACATTAGAGGAACATTCCTCTAATGTTCATGCTCGTGTATTTCCATACCTATATTGTATTATATTTAATTTTACCTGTTAGATAACCGATGGGTCGATACTCGATAATCGTAAATCGATATTCATGAACGCAGGCGTTAATCTTTTTTTCAACATTCTGTAACGATAATATTATAATTATTATATTTTAACCTTATTAAAAACGTAGTAGTAAATCGACTGACGGAATAATATGTTAGAGAATCGCCCTGTACAACAATAACAATAAATAATAGTTACAATCTTTGGGCGATCGAGCAATTATTTTTATCGCGATTCTTGTCATCTAACATTAATCGTTGTTGACGACATTACACTGTGCATTTTCGTATTCGTTCAGACGGATCACACTCATAAGTGCATAACGAACAGGTTGAGTGAGGGCCGCGCCTTGTAGGTACGCGACGATGTAATTACGTTCCAATCTTTTTTGCAATTTACGCGACCAGCAGTATTCTTCGGTGTTTGCTCCTACGATCGTCTTGACGACAATCAAACACTATGAACGGTGTTCAGGATAATGCTAGATATGATGGACTCACTGACCAGTCTAATCTGTCAAGAGGACCAAACAATGTGGATCTATACAACGATTCCGGTATTGTTTTGAATTTTTATTGTGCATCTACTAAGAATGGTCTTTAGTATATTTTTTTTTCGTTTTGTCCAAAAATTTGTCACCAGCCAGTTTTTATCCATAATTGGTACATTGGTAAATCTATAATATCAGTGAATGGCATTGTGTTGTAAATGTGCTTAATTGTAAATTTCTTGAAGTCTTACAACTTATTCTGATATATTGCTATGTATTAATACAATGATGCAATAATACAAATTATAAAATTGCATTAGGTGAACAATTAAAGAATTTTGACATATGAAAAAAAAACTTAGGTTAAACTTGATATATTTATGTGTTTGTTTATTTAGTATACATACATACAGTATCCAATACAGGCAGGCATCTCACAAATATAGGTATTAGGTATAGCTGAAAAAATACAAAAACAGACTTTTGTTCAATTTATTTTGCTTATTAAGATTGAGTTGTTCTTTAAACATATTACCTATATTTTAAGTATCACTTCCTAAAAATTTAATAAGGTTGAGGGTGCCCTCAGAAAAAAGTTTAATTGTCCCCAACATCCAGGTCTGCAGATCCCCCTGATAATGTCACAACTGCACAAAAATAGTGTTTATGTTATGTAATTACCTAAAACCTACATTAATGCATTTTGTAAGTAAAGAATTAACCTAAATATGTATCCAAGTAATAATCTAAAAATTAAAATCTGCAGAACAAAACATTTAATTACTAGGGTTTAGATGTTTTGGTATTTGTCCAATGCACTATTTACATATTAATTGGGCCCTGAAATTTTCAATTTTTTGTACTACACACTATATTTTAATTAAACGTTTATAACCAGTGATGTACACAGATAATGAAGACCCTTCTACAAAATTAATAAGTAGTAATAATAGAAAAAAAAACATTATTTGCTACACACTTTCAAATTCACACTACCTACACTTTTTGTACTACACAAAGTGTGTCTTTATATACACAATTTTAGGGCCATTAAAAAATGGTTTAATATACTATCTTACAAAATATAGGTACTTATCTAGTAATATCTATTGGGTTTAATATACCTAATATATAAGTCAATTTTTCAATTAATATGCTCCATACAAAAATAAAATACAAGAGAAAATATCTTAAATATCTTTATTTCAATTTTTATTTGCTAAAGTCAGTGAGCATGTAAAAACTTGTCTGTAGGCTGTAGTTTTGAGACTCCTGGTTTACAATATTTGTCATTATCTAGAAGCAGATTTGTTATTGGACAATGAAGAAGAATATATTCATCCTTATTCGGATGAATATGTACTTTTAGAGAGGAAGATGCGTAATAGATTATCTTTTTTCTTTATGAATCCAATTGAAAAATGGAAAACAAGAAGGAGGTTTCCATACAAATTTGTAATCCAAATTATCAAAATAATATTGGTTACGCTTCAAGTAATGGATGAGATAATAAATATTTTATTACTTTTGTAATAATTTAATATAGTTTTTTTTTTTTTTTTTAAGCTTACATTATTTGCTCATACTCGTTACAGTCATGTGAACTATACATGGGGAAATAGAATTACATTTTCACATTTGTTTATTAAAGGATGGGATCCAGCACGAGAAATAGTCTCTTATCCACCTGCACTGGGGCCACTAGCTATTTATAATATTGAATCATTTTATTCAACAATTAACTATGCCGTGGTTGGTGTAAGTATACAATTTACTTATTGTAAGTATTGTTTGCTTGTCTAAAATAATATCAATCTATTATAGAATGATCATTTTCCATTTTTTCTTCGAATAGTAACTTATTTAATTTTTCCTTTTGATTATGCCCCCCCCCCCCCTATTTAAATATAAGACTCGGACAGGGAATGCAATGCATACCTTGCGTCCCTCATTGCAACAATGTACCGCAATGGCACTGTTCGTTTTAGATTCTGAGCTGAGCAAAAGAATGTATTGATTTTACAACGATGAGTTTTTTTTTTTTACTCTCAAGTTTTGAAAAATTTGATTTTAATTTTTTGTTGTAAATTCAAAATTAATAACTAAAGACCTTTGAAATAGTCACAAAATATTTATATTGATATTTTCCATAAATAAATTTTTGAACTCTTTTTGAGCTAGTTATAGCCTTTAAATTTTTTTTTTAATTATTCTTGGTAAAAACTTTTTCACATAGTACAAAAGCTTGAAAATTTAATACAAGGTTATGTAAGTTCAAAAATATTAAAGATGCATAGGCACGATTATTTTTGTATATATTTAAAGATCAAATTTTGACATAATTCATCAAATTTTCTAAAACTTTCAAACCATTTTTCAGGTAGAAATGTATAAAAATTTTTCATTTTATAGCTAACATTAGAAATATTGTTAGAAGACAAATGTTCTTACCTTAAAAAAAAAAATAAGTAAATATAATTTTTTGTGTGCTTTTAAATATAAAAGTTTTACGTTATTGGATTTTTCACAGTAAATTAACAAATTTTCACCAAATTTTAAAAGAACAATTTTCCATGTATAGTTATATTTTCAAACAATTTTGAACCATTTATAAACTATTTATACTTCATTATTTTTTTATTTTTCAGTTAGAAATTCAAAAGTTTTTCTTTTTATCGCTAAGATTAAAAATTACAATAAAAGATTTTGTATAGGTGTCTACCCATAACAAGATTAATTTTTAATGAGCTTTCGAACTTATAATTATTACAATATTTGATATTCAGCATTAAATCTTTAATTATAGAATTCGCATTAATCAATTTTTGGTATTTTGTTATATTTCCAAAACAAATAACCATAGACTTTTGAAATGTTCACCAAATATTTATACAAGCATTTTCCATACATGGTAAAATGTTCAATCTATTTTGACTCTTTATGAGCTATTTATACCAAAGATAATTTTTTAAAATTATTTTTTAGTCGGAAATTCATAAAAGTTTTTCTTTTCATAGCTAACATAAGAAATTTTAATAGGAGGTTTCCAACAAGTTTTTCTACTATTTTCAGAATGAAGAACTTCTCTGGAAAGTCACCCTGTTAATAGCCATAAAATATTTTTTATCTTTATAAAAAAAAATGTTTAACTATTAAATTTGATTATTTATAAAATGTTGAAACAACTTCTCCGCTCAGATTCGCTTTTCATTTACAATAAATAATAATTTATCATTGAATCCAAATATAACACATGCATTACAACCGCATGCTCGATAACTACTGTACTAGAGCTGCACCCACTTTTAGTAATAATTAATCTCACGTTTTTTGACAGTTTTGAATGATTTTATTTTTATTATTTTGTAATTTTAGGTGACCAATGACCATGCTATAAAATATTATTATAATTTGAAAAACAATCAAATTAATTTTTTGCTAATATTTGTTGTTTCAAAATATCTATCATTACATATTATTTTGAATTATTGACAGCAGTCTAAGTTTTTGAACTTCTGATTGGAGATGCAGAATATTTAATTTTTTGTTATCATATGTTTAATTTATTTTTATGATATATATTTTATTTTGTAGTATTTGAATGAATGAATACTATTTTAAGAATATATTAGTTGTATTTAACAATTATTGTAATGAAATAATGAAAGTTTGTATTTTATTGTAAACACCTATATATTTATATAGTATGCCAACATCAGTAACGCAATAGGATCATACTCATATCTAAGCGAAGATAGTAAAGTTGTGCATCCAATATTTTGTACTGTTCATTATAAAGAAGGTAGTGCGTTTGGTTTCAATGAAAGTTATACCTTTGATGGAGAAATAATACAAGGTAACTGGAATACGTGCTATTATAAATTCTAAGATTCTGTTGTATAAATAAATTTAATTTATTTTTAATCTTTAGAATGCCTGAATGTCACTATAACAGATGATATAAAAACTAAAGGATTTTCAATCAAAGATTATCTAATTCAACATAATAAGACAATCTATTTTTCATCTTTATTAAAAGCTAAATTAAAATTTGCATTAAAAACTGTTAACTTCAGAGTTGCTGGAAAGTATTCACCTCCCGATTGTTACAAATTCGAAATTCAAGTAAATATAATTTTGTGTAAATTTTTAAGTACGATATAATTTAACATTAATTAATGGATAGATAAGTTATCCTTTAAAATCTTTCAAAATATGACATTTAAAATAAAGACTTTGCAAGAAATTTTGGGTAATTTTTATTTAAGGCTGGTTCATTAAAAACAAATTATTTATAATTGATATTACAAAATATTTATATCTTCTGACTTATAAAAAAAATAAAGGTATTTTTGATCGGTTAAAAATATATACATTTTTCATGATTAATAAAAGTATATTTTATAACAATAATATATTATAATAAATTATTTATTTATATTAGATTTATCGCATTATTATATTAGATAAACAATCTATATCATTATACATTTAATGGATTTCATTACAGATAACATTAAACAATGAAGATATGGATGGTCAAGTGTTGGTAGACTTGGATGTAAATCCTTTTAGGCTAAATTGTAAAGGGAACGTTGAATACATCAGTAAGTTAACAAAATAGTTTTTATTGTATGTTAGACTGGTATTATTAATATTATTATTTTTCTTTTATTTAAGTGGATAACAAAGTCGAGTCATTTTTGAGAAGTGTATTAAATTATTTTGTCATCATAGTGTGTACTATTTCAATGATACTATGTACAAGGGCTATATTGAGAGCACAGCTACTGAAATATGTAAACATATAATTTTGTTTAGTATCAATGTCATTTATAACTTTGTAAAATTTATTTTTTCAACCATAGGAAACAGTAAGGTATTTTGAAGACATGCTAAAGTCGACATTGAGTTATAGAGCACGGTGGGAGTTTTGGAATTTGTGGTATATAATGATAATTATCAATGACATACTGATTATATGTGGTTCAGGAATAAAGGAACAAATAGAAAAAAAGGTAATATCTTAAAATGGCGTACACATGGTTGTTGTGTGTTCAAATCCCTTGTGTTTTTTTATCTATATTAAAATGTGAAAATGTTTTTACAAAACATACATTTATATGTATCCTTAAATTTCCTCCCTCCCACATTGAAAATTTCCTTAAACACCACTGAATTATTATAATCATATTAAATATTAATAGTTAATAGGTATTATTAAATAACTCTATGTTTGTAGCAATTTATTGGCGACCAATGGAATTTATGTAGTGTACTACTTGGAACTGGAAATTTGCTGGTCTGGTTTGGAGTTCTTAGATATCTAACATTCTTTAAAACTTACAATGTAAGTTTAAGTTATGCTTTATTGATTATAATTCATAATAAATTTTAATATAGAAATATAGGTATTTAAATTGTTTATTTTCAGGGTGTAATATTAACATTACGGCAAGCTTTTCCAAACACTTCTAGGTTCATTTTATGTGCGATTCTATTGTATGCTGGCTTCACATTTTGTGGTTGGTTGGTATTAGGACCTTATCATATGAAAGTAAGTGTTTATTTCAAATTCGTAGGTAAAATGTTATTAATTATTTTCTCAACTCTCCAAAACAATTTAATAAACTAATTTAAATTAAACATGCCTATTGTATCATTATCCATTATTTATTTTTTTTTTTTTATACTTTAAATTATTATAACTAGGTACATAAAAAATAATTTTTATACATCAAACTTTTAAAATTATACTCGTAGGTACTACCATAATAGTTATATATTACAATTTTAAAATCTTAAACTGTGAATATCTAAAATATTTTCCAACTACTAGTTATGTTAAAAAAAAATATTAATATCTTGTCTTAAACTTGTAAAATTAATTTTTTTAAATTTTTTAAGTTGATAATTACTAAATATTAGAACATTATACAAAACATGATAATGCATTTATTTTGTATTAACAATGACAGATTTAATATTATGTGAGTATAGGAGTTTTCATAATTTATGAATGAATAAAGAGAATGTTTTTCAGCTTTTACTACTAAAGAAATATAAATTATTAACTCCATTCTAGTTAGGTATTAAATAACCCTATTTAGTTGAAGTTGAATAGTTACCTTTTTTTAAAACATTTTTTAATATGTCGTGTATTTGTATGCTTAGTTCCGGTCGTTGGCAAGTACATCTGAATGCTTATTCTCTTTAATTAATGGAGATGATATGTATGCCACATTTACAATCATGGCTACAAAATCCTCATTGCTGTGGTGGTTTAGTCGTTTGTACTTATATTGCTTTATAAGTCTGTTTATTTATGTGGTTATCAATCTCTTTCTATCGGTAATCATCGACTCCTATGAAACAATTAAGGTAAATTTTATTTAATTTAAAATGTTTACTATTATATAATGTAGTTTAAAAATGTTGTATGCATTTTTAGGTTTTGTTAAATTGTATTAAGTGTTTCCCTGAGTCTAATTTATTTAGTTTCATTTAGATAATTTTTTTTACTTTTCACTTTACACCTATAAATAAGTGGAATGCATACCACTAGAGCAGTTATAACCAAATGATGGCTTGCAAACCGCATAAAGCTGTGGAAAAATGTGATGTGTTAAAAGAATAAGACATTTTTTAAACCATTATTTCTTATGATACCTACTCCAATGAGATTTTCTTTCAATTTCATTTTATTTTTTGATCTTATGTTTACCTACTTTCTTTGGTTAAATATGATTATTGAATTTTGATGGCCTCCGAACTTCCTGAATTCTTGATATGGCTCTTCAAAAGTATTAATTAGTGATCCATGCTCATAAGTGACATGAGTCTTTGAATTAAAAATTAGAATTATTAATGATATTAAAAATTATATTCTTTCAAGTAATATGTGAATATTTTAAAATTAAATTGCTGAAACTTTTATTGACCTTCATAAATATCTTTAAAAAATAATGTATATTATACTTGATTAGTTATTTTATAATATTGTTTACAAAATTTGTTTATTTTTAGAACCAACCACCTGATAATAAACCCACAACTGACCTGGAAAAGTTTATGGTTGAAGGTACATTTCCTACATCATCATTTGATATAACAGAAGAGACTGATAATTGGGCACAAGTATCATTTGCCCAAACAGTTAGGAAAATATTTTGTAGTTTTTGTATGTAAGTTCAAGTTTAATATAATAATATCTGAATTAAGGGATAACAATAACGAATTAAGATAATCGAATTTAATATTATAAACAATAATTGACATACGAGTGACGTTATTTCAATTTGACAATGAGAAGAATGATGTACATTTTTCATGGTGACATTTTTTATTTAACAAGTTTTATTTTCAGCGATTTCAAAAATTTACGCCAAACATGTTTGTTTATTAATCAAAGAAGCCGACATTTAATTATTTGATATGAAGATGGCTTTCTATTTAATTTTATATTTTCGTTACCAATATTTATTATTATCTAAACTCTATATTTTATACACATATTATAGATGTTTATTATACTACATATTATATATTATAGACTGATTCACTGTGTATCCTTTCCTAACTGCACTTCATTAATTGAACTATAATTATTAAATTAATTTAGTCACATAAGATAGTGATCTGGTAGGAATATAAGATAAACTACTATCATAGGTACATTTTGTTTAATACTTAATTTCACAACATTTTTGTTAAAAATGTTTATGATTAAACACGTTTTTGTTTTTGTTTTGTTTGGTAAATAATGTGAGAGGTCAGACATAATAATAAATATTACTTTCATGTGGCGTTCCTAAAAGTCAATTATTGTTAACCCAAATTTAATTATGCATACTGTTTTAATCTATCATATGAACTATATTTTAATGTTCAATTAATTGTTTGGTAATGCATGTCATATTTTTTTTTAAATTATGAATTATATTATATTATACATCTTTGATTTAAAATAAACATGAAATGTTGTAACATTGTATTTTGTTTGTTGCCATCTTGGGATTTTAAATATGGCATGTCAATGCTAAATGAAATAATGTGTTCAAAATAATGATAATTTTATTTTTGTATTAAATGTATTGTTTTAAATAGTTAATTATGGTTGTAAATGTTTACCAATTTATTACTCTTAAAAATTAAAATATGATTTTCAAAATTGTTGGCTGTTTTTGAGCTATAGATACTTTATATGTAATATAAATACTAATATTGACTCATCCTATTTTTGAATCTTTCACTTTAAATCCTGAGGGGTAGCTATGAATGTATTGATTTTACAATGGTGTGTGTTTTTTTTTGTGTTTGGAGACATTTCAGAAATAATGCTCTGATCCTCAACTTTGATTTAGGTTTCCGGTAGAAAATTGAATCTATACTCTGTTCAGAATAAAACGATGACCCGGGGGCCGAGTTGTGCGCATGGGCGTGGCTTTGTTCCATTTAAAATACCTGAAACCTGAACCTGGGTAACTTGAATCTTAGTGTGACTTGAAACAATCTGATTTTTTTAAGCAAATCAATATATACTCTCGAAATTTAGGAATAATTAAAGGTGAAGCTTTCTTGGATTAAAGTATTCTTATATATTTTATTATTAGTAACATAAAAAAGTCTAAGGTGAGTTATAACTATGTGGGTAAGAGTTCTTTTTATATTTTTTAATTACCTACTCGATTTTTATTATTTATTATTTATCTTAATAAATAAACTAATTGACTGTAACTAATAATTAGGTAGGTATGTTTTTTAAGCATATTTATAAGATAAATATTTCAATCAGAAGTATTTTTTATACTTACGTAAAAATTCCAAAAGTACCTACCTACTGTTTTTTATTATTGATTTTTAATAAAGGTTGCATTTTTTTCTACCCAGCTTTATTAATTTTTAAACTAATTTATTGTTTCAATTCACTATTAGTAATTACAACAATTTGTAAAAATTGATTTTTTATTTTGTATTGATTCAACAATGAATAACTATAGTTTGTAGCCTGTAGGTAATTGAGATTTTTTCTTAATAATAGTTTTTTTATTTTATAGACTTTATACCTACAATTAAAAAAATATTTTGTTTCTTTTTGAGCTATTATAAATATTTGAAATTGACTCTAGTTTTAAACTTTTTTTTTAGTTTCTGTAACGGCACATAAAAATATTGTAAATACAGACAAATATTCACTATTTTTTTAATCATTTAAAGTTAAAATTTTGATTACATTTATGTTTCAATTTCTAACAAAAAATAATCATTTTTTGCATGTGTCAATATTGTGCAACCTAATATTTTTTATGGAAAATAAAATTGACTGGTATGCCATAAGCGGCATGTGGGATAGAGTCCCTTTCCAGGTGGACGGATGCCCGGATGATCTCCAAACTTGGTCCGAGAGCCTTTATTAAATAACATATTTGAAACAACTTTCAACCAATTTTATCTACACGCATCACTCTTAAAATGTATAACTTGTGGACAGTTATACTTACATTAAAAAAATATTACAAATTAAAAACACTCTTATACATTTAAAAAATTTAAATTTAAAAAATAACTAATAAAAATAGAAAGTTTTTGTAGGCTCAAAAAGAGTCAAAATATTTTGAAAATTGTATCATGTAGGTACAATAAATAGGCATAATATAAACATTTGGTTAAAATGTCATATATCTACGGTAATTTTTAATATTTTTTTATAAATTATTACACTCTAGCTCTACTCAAAATCTAGAACTATACACTAATATCAATTAATTAATATTTACTAACGTACTTATATATATATAAGGCCCCCCAAATCTTAAACGCTATTTGTGCTTATGCTCGCCGCCTTACATGACAAATCTTAAAAAATATAGCGGCTTAATTTAAACAATTTTTCATTCACGCAATGTCTTCGGCATTGGGGGGGGGGGTTGTACTTATACGATGGAGCAACTTTATATCATTGGCAAACATGAGTAATTGGCAATGTTTTATAATACTTTTAATGCCGTTTACAAATAAAGAGTCTGAATTCCAAAAAACATTTTGTATTCAATTTATGGATAAAATAATTATTTTCTTTTTTTCTATATTATATAGGTAATCAAGACCTAATTTTATATTCTGAGCGGAGTGATAAATGTATTGATTTAACTATAGGTAGTACCATTCGTTTAAACTCAAGGATTGTGTATTAATTGTGTATAATAATGGTTTGTTTTTTCACGGATTGTAATAAATTGTTTTGATATTATCAAGAGAGATTACATTTTGAGAAGGTTTACCTATTATTTTCTATGGTGCAGTTTCCTGTCTTGGAAGGTTTCAATACAATAACATTTTGTATACCTAATTGTAAAAAGGTTGGAGTAGTTGGATGGTAATTTGCACCTCCTGCTTGGCGAATTGTCCCTTGAAGACGTTAAAAAGGTAATAATTTTAAACTTTAATAATAGTCATAGTTTGGAATATTGTATTTTTCTTACTTCCAAAGTATCTTGGTTAATTTTTCCAGTAATAATGTACTGTATACCATATTTTTTCTTTTAAGGGGACTATTACAGTGACATTTGTTGTCTCTGTCTTACAAGTGCTTAACATAGCAACTTTTAAGCTCAGCAGAACACACTTATCTATCTGTTAGTTTAAAAATTAGAGCGAATTGAACTCTTATAAAATTCAAAGGTAAGACTTTTATCTAGACAATGACAATATAGGCTTTTTATTTACGAGTTATGAGTATTTTAAAATTGTAAACTGTACATCTTAAAATACCTACTCATAACTGGCTTTAAAATTAAAACATAATAAAAAGCCTATGTCGTTGTCTAGATAATAATCTTACTTTTAAATTGTATAAGAGGTCAATTTGCCCTAATTTTTAAACTAACGGAGATAAACGTGTTCTGCTAAGTGTAACATTTGCCGTGTTACGCACTTGTAAGACGGAGACAACAAATGTCACTGTAACGTCCCCTTAAGTTATACTTGGCCCTTCGGCAGTATTATTGGAAAGAAAGTATTTTGGCTTTATTTTGTTATTAATAACACCCTTGTCCCATTCATACAACCACTCCAAAGTATTTTGTAAAATCTGCAAAATAACATCAAAATAGTTTAATGCTATTAGAAATATTTTAAGCTTTTTAGCTAATGTAAATCAGCACCAAACACTAGTCAAAATAAATAATTTGCCAAGATTGTATAAGCTATTGGTACTCAAACAAGCAAACTGCATACACAAGTTAAATTACCTATGGACTATGGTTGTAATATAGATCACGATTTAAATGCAACTCATTAATTGTTAAATAAATAATATAAGAACTTATTAAAAATTTAATTTTAAAGTCTGTATATTCCACTTCCGAGCAACTTAATCGTTTTTCATTCCTCTTTGCACCACAAATTACTCTCGTAGTAAATCGATGTTCAGAATGATTCTTATTGCTAATGAGGACCTGTCGTTTTATTTTTCGTAATCGTAACAATGTCCTTATGTTAATGTAATTTATATGTATTTTCCTGTTATTATTATTATCAACTTGTTTTCCAGTACTTTGGGCCACGGCTTGTTTTGTAATAAAAAAAAAAATAAAAAAAAATAAAATCAGTAAGAGCAATGTTTAAAAGCCAATAAACAATCCATTATTGGGTCTTTTTTTTTTGTCGGTTTTCTGTTTTTAGGGAGAGCTCCTTCTATTAATGGTAATTTTCTTCGTTTTAAAGAGTTGGATAGTTATTTTTACAGTTTGGAAATATTGATGGTATAGCCATAGATAATATTGCTGACATAACTATCTTATTAAATTTGTCATGCAAAATGTATTGATTTTGAGAATATCATACCGTTTGATGATGCCAATAATTTTATTGGCCAAGAAAGCCAAATAAAATTGTTCATGAACATATTTTTAAGTTTCCCAAGCTTCATCAATTCTCCAAAACGTGGGTTTAGTTTAGACAAATGGAGTATTGGAGTGATCTTCAAAGCTTCAAATACATAACGCATTATGATTATCATAGACCATAATTTTTGTGGTGTATTGCGTCATATGAATTAGTGTTAGTAAAGCCAAAAAAAAAATTAAAGAGTAGGTAATGACTAAATTTAGCTAAAACACTGATTTTTTAAACGTGTTATTATTTTTATTTTTTATTTTAATACTATATTCGTTATTTGTTAGGCTGTTAAAAAGAGTTTCTGTTTAGCGTTTACTAGTTAATTTATAAGTAAGTTATATTATGTTTTATAGATACAATTTAAATAACTTTTTAATGATTTTTTTTTTTAATTATTGTTTTATTTGTAATGTAATAAAAGACTGTTGAAAAATGTTATTATTTGTATTTACAATAATGAAAAAAGGTTTGGCATGTGGGTGTCACTCTGCTGTACAGTAGGTTACAAGTGGGTCACTGTATAATGGAAGGTATT